TACACACTTTATAACTTTCATTCATTTAGCAAATATTTTGTCATTTAATATATACCAGTCACTAGGCCAGGTGTTTCTCAGCATATTTTAGTGTTGAAAGTCTCCTGTTAAATAATCTCTGGGAGGCCTGGGATTCTTAGATCAGATCATTAAAAAATTTTTAAAAAATTTAACATTACGCTGGATAAAAAAAATTTACTTCTTTGAAGCTGTTTTGTCAAAACAATACTCATTTGTTACTGTTGGCCTGTGTATGTATTTGTGGAAGGCTAACCAGATATGTCTACCCAAATATGAGAACCAGAAACCAAAGCCATATCTGGTCTATTGGCTCTGATATAAGATAAGTAGAATAAATAAATCCCTACCCCAAAAGGACTGGTGCTTCCATCTTCTCTGCCCTTTAAAGTTCTAGAAACAAAATGTTTAAAGGTTGAATATTTTATAACCTTAGAACTAAAAGATTGCTACAGTGGATCAGACCACCCATGATTCATCCAGCCTAAGCCACAGAATACTTTATAGGGCGAATATGGTTGTCCTTGAAAATGACCAATCTCAGAAGACAAGCTGTTATACTAGTTATAAACTAATAAGAGTCTTGACTGTGAGAGTTTATTTTTTTATGTAGAAGGATTCAGGAGGTAGAATTTTACTGGTGATATTCAGTAGCACAAAGATTGACATCTCTGCATTCTTTTGGCCAAGTTTTGCAGTTTCCTGGGCCTTTCTTTTGTCTCTCGTGATGGCCAACCATTATGTCTGCTTTCCGAGCAGCAAATAAGAGAGAAGGACAAGGGCAAAAAGGCTGACCTAGCAATTTCCAGGTATATCTCTGCCTCTTATTGTCTCCAAAGGAGTATGGGAAATACAATTTTTCAGTCACTCCCCTTGCCCAAAGTTCTGTTAGTAAGGAAGAAGAGAACAAGTATTGGGTAGGTAGGTGTTAAAGAAAAAATTATTCGGTGATACTTGTTAAAGCATGGTAAGGAAGACTATTCAGGACCATCAAGATAGGTATAAGGACTACTGCAACAAAGTCTTGCAAGTCGGGGAGAGAGGTTAGGCTCAACCCCAAATACAGCATGGGCAAGTGGGAATTTAGAGCCAAGGAGCAGTATGGGGGTTAGGGGATAGAAAATTACTAAGGTAAAACCAACCTAACAGGATTCTTGCTGAAGACAGGCCAGGGTGATCAGACATCACCTGGAGGTTAGTGTGGAATAAGGACCCTGGTCAGATATCCGCAATGCTCAGATATCAGCAATGGGGGGAGGGGGTTCTTGCTAAAGTGATTTAGCAGAGTTCTTGGCTGGGCACAGTGGCTCATGCTTGTAATTCTGGCACTCTGGGAGGCTGAGGGGGAAGGATTGCTTGAGCTCAGGAGTTCCAGAACAGCCTGAGCAAGAGCGAGACCTCATCTCTACAAGAAATAGAAAAACTAGCCAGGTGTGGTGGCACATGCCTGTAGTCCCAGCTACTTGGGAGGCTGAGGCAGGAGGATCCCTTGAGCCTAGGAGTTTGAGATTGCAGTCAGCTATGATGACGCCACTGCACTCTAGTCCAGGTGACAGAGCAAGATTCTGTCACAAAAAAAAAGTGACTTAGCAGAGTTCTTTACTAAAACTGGATTTTACACGGTAGTGCACGGATGGACCTAGCAGAAGATTCACAGCCTGATGGGTTTGTCTGAGGAAAGAATCTTTGTCATAGGCAACTAGCAGTCTGTACTGCAGGTGTGGCACCCACCCCCACATACACACCACTGCCCAAAACGTTGCTTTTTCCCCAGAGCACACGTGGATTATTATCTATGAGTTAATCTTAAGCTTTCTTGAACATATTTATCTTTTCAGGTTATATTTTGTCTCCCAAGTTTCCAGCCCTATTTAGGCTGCACAGTTTTAATTCTCTGGAAATGGGATTGTGCAGTAGAAAGAGCACTGTCCTTGGAATGAGAGGACCTGATCAGTTCCAGTTCATCTGACATCTAAGCTTCCATTTCTCCCTTTGGATAATGGAAATAAGATAATTTTTCTGCCTGTGTTCTACAGGCTTCTTTTAGGATCAGATGAGCACTTTTATTTTAATGGATATTCTAGTACATTGTGAACAGTAAAGCATTATACAATTAAATATATGATGTTATAATGCTCATATTCAAAAATCAAACTTTTTATCTTCGCAATAGAATGAGCTGTTGCTCCTGACTTTTTTTGATGGCCAGTCACCAAGTCTAGAAACCTCAGTCTTTTGGCTGCATGTGACTCTCACCCCACATCTCTGGTTGTAATAGTCTTTGATATTAGTCTCTCGGTATTTCTCCATCTTTATCGTCTCCGCCTTCCTTACTGCTCCCCTTGTTCAGGACCTCATTATCACACTTTGTTCTTGGCTATTACAGTAGCTCTCTGAATCAACTTCAGGCCCTGCTCTCCCTTCCCATCCCACATCTGTACACATTTCCACACAGCCTTAATTCCTATTTCCAATGGATATAATATACCATGAGAGTGCTATATCATAATATCAGTAAATATTTTTCTACTTTGGGGCATTTATATTTTTAGTTGTTATAATGTGGTAGTAGACATTTTGTGTGTATGTGTATACTATGTATAATATATATGGTTATGTATATAGCTTATGATTATTTTGTTAGAGTAAATTCCTATAGCATGAGTTACTGGGATAAAGGATGTTCTTTGAGACTTAGGCTTTGTTTTCCCAGTTGTTTACCAAAGGATGTTTCTAATTTATATGCTGTGAACAACAGTATACTGTATATCATGAATGTACCATAGTTTTTCATAGTGTAGAGGATCAATATATGCCATCCCAAAATTTGCTTCTTTGGCATACTGATTATTTTGAGTTAAAGGCACTGAAAAACAACAGATGCAAGAAGGGCACTCTGACCTTCCCTTTTCTTCCCAAAAGCAGGAGATGCAACTTCCATGTGAAAGTTGCCCTCCCTGTGCCAAGAGAAAGGAAGACATCCTTATAACCAGAGACAGGGAATCAAGGCTGACAGAAATCAGTACAAACAAACCTTGTTAAACTAACCCTTATCTTCCAAGTCACTTTTCCACAATTAATTGCAATTTTCTACTTTTTGTTCAACCTAGTATATAAGCGTTAGGGTCTAACTGCTTCTTTGGGTCTTCATTTTTCTTGTGAGGGCTCCCATGTACCTGTGAAAATTACTAAATAAAATTTATGTTAATTTTCCCCTCTTAGCCTGTTTTACGTCAGTCCCAGATCCCAGCACAGAGACCGTAAGAAGGCAGAGGAAAAATTTTACCTCCCCCACAAAGGCATAGCAAAACTTTAAAAATACATAATAAGAAAATGTGGCTTGTTCAATTTCATGCACATGGGACCCAGGCACACCAAGTCTAGGAAGATTTGTTGCATTGCAATCTAGGTAACCTTGTACTGAAAACATTTATAGGCCAGTGTGGATGAGGACCTTGAATGTAAAGTTGAAATACATATCAAAAGTGGAAAAGAAAAAAAAAAC